CTTCCCCCCGTGGCGGTGCGAGCGCTGAGGCTGCGAAAGAGGGGAGGGGGTGGGGGGGGTCTTGGATTAAAAAGAGGAAAATCCCTTTATAAAGGAGGAGGGTTGAGTGGGGTGAGAGGACCGTGTCCGTCAGAGCTGGGGGGGAGGAAGGGGGAAGACGTCAGAGTGCTAGGGGACGTCGGGGGGGCAGCGAGGATGACTCAAGGGAGAGTGATTGTCATGTCAGGACAGCGGAGCAGGGGATAGGAAATAAAATGGGGGTGAGGAAACAAAAGGGAACGAGGTGGGGTAAGAAAGGAGAGGAAAAGATCGTGTGGGACCAAAGTGAGAGAGGAACAAAAGAAAGCTGATCAAGAGAGGCACAGAAGGGAAAGCAGGGTGGAGGAAGGGGAGCTCTGTTGCTCTCAGTGCTTCCCTGGTACCCTTCTGTCTCCGCACTTGGGCCCAACAAAAGACAAGCAGCAAGCCAAGGCAAGGAGCTGCTGTGGGGCAGCTCGCTAGGGTTGTCTTCCCCGCAGCTCCCTCCTAGACCTGCTTGACCCTGCAGCCACATTTTCTAGCTGCAGGGAAATCCTTTTTTTCCCCGTGACCCTTACAAACTGCACCTGCAGAGTCCCCCTAATATGACCTTTCAGGTGGAAGGACTCCTGTCTTCTGGTCACAAACAGTGCTGGGCAGTAGGTCCCGAAGTGCTAAGAACAAGGGCACACATGTGAAGCAGGCCCAGGTGGGCCTTGCCCCAGTTTTTACCATGGGAAGGTCATGCTGAGCTGTAGCCCTCACTCTCAGCCCATGAGTGGCAGGTAACATGGGCTGCTCGCTCGTGCAGGATAGAAAAGTAGAAATAACCCCACAGGAGTGTGGAACTGAGACTTGTAACAGAACTAAGTTCAAGCAAAAAATACAAAATCATCTTACACTCAAGAGAAAACTCGTAATCTGCGAAGGTAATAAAAACAGAGAAGAGAAAGATGGCAACTCAGCAAAGCTCAGCTTGCTGCAAGTAATGACAGAGGGTGGCACTTCTTTGCCTAGTTGCCAGCTACCTCTCCCGCTGCCCACTCACAGTTTGATGAAGATATTAATGTTTGGCCAAGTAGCATGTTAGTCCCAGCCATTTATTAGGCACATTACTTGCAATAAATAATGACTGCATGCTCATAAGTTGTGTGCATGCAACTACTTTCAGGTCCCTGGGCTTGGGTGGAGATTCCCAAATAAAAGTGACCAAAGAATGCAAGGTTATACACAATACTATTTTTATCAGCCAGTCTCATGGATTGTTGAGTGTCGCTAGTGATGCAACGTCTGCTTTGGGAGTCTGCAGTAAAAACATTCTCCCAGTAAAAGGCAACGGAGACACACTTCAGACACAGTGGAGCATCAAGGCTCCCTCTAAAGAAAAATTCTGTGAATAGACCCAATATAAATAATAAGAAGTAGAAATCAGAGTCCTTGGAAACAGTGTTGAGCGTGTCTCAATAACAAATAAATAAATGACCTTCAGTTAGCCACGTGTGATAGAAAGTGTTTGCTTGGTGGCTTGGATGTTAATTTAAATGTACAGAAGGGATTAATTATATTTTAGTCTGTTTTTCTCTAACTCCATACAGAAAAAGAATCCATGACAACACAAAGTATGGGAAACTCTGGAAAAAAAAATGTTAGCCAAAAGCCTTTCTTTAGCATATTCAAAAAATGTCAACCAATGTCAAAATAAATACATAAAAGAAATCCTTTTCTTAGAATAGAAAAAAATAGAATTTTCTTAGAATAGAAGACTATGACAAAATTCCTGTTGTCCTTAGTGGATGTAATTAACTCCTGATTATAGAATTGGAGTGAGGAAACAAAATTTTTCTCATTTCTGAAAATTAATTAATTTAAATTAATTATATTTTAAAGAAGTTTCATTAAAATGAATCTTGAGGTGTATTAATTTTGATTTTCACAAGTTTTGGCTAAGTTTTACTTTATACATTTATCTATTCCTGTAGTTACTTAACCACAAATAAGCTAATTCATGCAGTTTTTGGAAGGGGTCTGTCCAATCTGTAGGTTCCTTGAGCTGGTACATCTTTGGGTCTTGAAGCTACCTTTACCTGGAAGCAGCTGGGAAAAAGACAATAATTTTGATGAGATGTGATCCAAATAACATTAGCTGAGTTAACAAGTTAGTATCTCTTCTTAGCATTACCTTTCAGGTAGTTTTCTTGTGCATGCTGCAGATACTTCTCTTGGAAAAGGATCTTGCTACACGGGATCACTGTGTACACTATGCCAGCTACAGCCCAAAAGCATCCATCAACTGTAGCCATTTACGAAGCTCATTTCTCATGGTATTTGAGATCAAGTGTTTCCTTGGATACCAGTAAATTTTATGGCTCTTGGGAAAAAATGCAATTAGATGCATCATGCATCTGCATTATGCACCCGAAGCTATTAACTGCAACTGCAAGGTGTATCCCGCTCTAGGCATGACCACATTGCTGAAGAAAATTGCTTCAGCTATAGAAATGCTTCGATCTGAGATAATATTTTCTGGGAAAGAGAATCAGGAGGTCCACTGACAGCTCGTGGCTTGTAAAAAAAATGATTCTCTACTTGAACATTATTTTGTCCTTTTCTTACGAACACAGCTTGAAAACATGTTGGTAAAAAAAACCTTCAAACTTTGTTTCAGTATGAAAGAGAGCTGGCACAGAAGCATATGTTTGCTCACCTTGAATCATGTCAGTTTTTCTGCCTCTGTTGGTGATTCTGTGGCTGCCCATTGCTGCAGGCCATCTCTGCCCAATGTAAAAGTTATACTTTGAACAGAGGCAGTACTGGACTTGATAGCCCCATAGGTCCAAAGCTGACAAACAGGGGGGGTTGACCAAAGATCCCTTACTGCTTTTTACTTTTAGGTTAAGTTAGCTGAACCGGTGTGAAGGACTGAAGAGTAACTTGATGAGTCAAGCATCCTCCCTCCTGTCTGTTGCAAGCTTCCAAGGTCTCATTCTACATTGGGTTATGCAGGTCTCAGTTTTACCTCTGAGTGCCTTAGGAAACAGTGATGAAGGGCCAGGTTTTACTTTAGTTAAGCGTAGTGCAAACCTGGAAAAATACAAACTAAGTTACTGAACGCACTTGAGATTTACTCCACTGACAGGAACTGGCCTCAAATCTCTGTTCTGTGGCAATTTTCCAAATGTCAAAATGTATGTTTATTGTAGTGACAGTCAAATCTTTTGAATAATTTGTGAAGAGCATGTGCAGAGGTGGGATACCTATCAGGGGGTAGAAGGCTACTACTCTGATTGTTTCAGAACATGATTTTTCAACCCAAATTAGACAGCTTACCTCAAGCTTTTACTTTTCAAGCCAGTTCCCTACTATCCAGCTATAGCTGGTACTCTTCTCCTTCTTTTCTTTACAGAACTGTTGAGAAATGTTCTGTGAGAGCAATGGAAGTTAACTTCCATGCGCAGTGTCTGTCATTTTTTAAGCAAAGATCTTACAATATTTCCAGGGATTACTTGGGCATATATATGGTTATTTTAACTCTGTCTTGGTATTAGTAAAGCTGTTTGAGTTTTAAACCTATATCCATCACTGAGACTTTGCTTAGAAAACGGTTACCCTGAATGCAACTCATGGAGCTGATCAAAATAAAGACTTTCGGGCTAGGGCCAGTCAGGCTAATTGCCACCTAGTTTCTTCTTCTTAGTGCTTCCTGCTAGTTGGTGCTTCCTGTTAGTTGGTGTTTTGAACATTTGGGATACTCCAGGCTTAGTCATGATCTAAAACCTCTGAAGGATAAGTATCTATCTGCTTAAGTATACTTCTGAGGTAAAATTCTGTTTTCTGAAAGATTTCTATGTTTAAAATATTGCATGGTGTTAGTATATGTGTTATAAGGTTGGGCTTCTTCCTTTACAAAACTCTGGATGAGGGTTCTCTTAGTGAA